TGTCTCTAGGACTGTGGCAGACTGGGTGGATGGTGTCTCTAGGACTGAGGCAGACTGGGTGGATGGCTCCGAGCCCAGCAGCAGATGGCAACGCAGTCACATCCGAGGGAGGTTGTTCAAGCTGATTTTTTTCATTTATCCTTTATTTATCCAGGTAGTCTCATTGGGTCAGGACAACTCATTTTCAAGAGAGACCTGTTTAGGGAGCAGATGGTGGGGGTTAAGGGCCTTGCTCAGGGGCCCAGAGTGGGGTGAATGAGGGTGGAGGCAGGTGTGGGTGTTTCACCTTTTCCACCCACATTTTGATGTTTACAGTACCAGGATTGACCCTGTGACTTTCCGAACACAGGCCCATCTTCTAACCTCTGCGCCACCACTCCCCCTGATATAAGGAGAAAGTCCCTGACTTCTGGACTAATAAAAACTGTTTCCTCAACTTGTTTGGTTCAATACCCGCTTTAAAGTATTTTTCTATGGCTCACACATTTGAGCCAACAAGACGGTGGTGCAGTGGTTGGTCTTTGCTGTGTAGTTACATAACTGCCAATCACATCTGTGTGAAAGCGTGAGAAGCAACAATGTATTAAACTATGTACTGTGACGAGCCCGTACTGAGCGCTGCAAACTAAATTAAGGGAAACTTACAGCCTGTTTCTGCTCCTCATCCTATCAGCCAGCAAAGGGAAGCAGAGAAAGAGCAAGAAGAGCGAAATCAAGAAAATGAAAGTCACGAAAAGAAAAAGAAGTGATATTTGCATGCATCAGATTGTGCTTGGACACAGCTAAAGATGAAAGCAGTGTCTCGGTTTTGGACACATTTCGGTCCACCAAGCTTAAGAGCCCAGTTATTTATTTATTTATTTACAGCGGATGATCACCAACAAGTCAAAGAGCTGCAGATTTAAGATAGCAGCATCCCATTTCCAGAGAAATGTGTTTGAAGCTGGACTGTTTTACCTTCAGCAGCCTCATGAGTCCCTCCAGCTGCACCATCAGCTCCCGCCGGCTCTCCTGCAGAGCCGACATGCGCCTCTCCAGCTCGTCCTTCCTGTGTCTGCGGGCGAACACGTGGAACAGGACACGGGTTAACGACCTGAGTTAGGGCAGCCAGGTCATATACCCCTAAACATTATATTATTATTTTATTATTAATGTTGTTGTTGGTTCTATATGACTATTATTATTATTCAATCAACCTTTATTTATACAGGTAAATCCCATTGAGCCTCGAGGACTCATTTACGAGAGAGACCTGATTATTATTAATATTAGTAATCAACAACAATTTAAATTACCTAATCTGGACACTGTAGTTTCAGTGAAAAGGCAGTTTGAATGCAGATTACTAAAAGATCACTGAAATTTGCTTTAAAAAAGCTCAAACTAAATCTAAGACAAAACAGGTAAACTGTGGCTAAAATTAGCCGAGCATTAACTAAACAGCAGAACAATAGCTAAAAGCTTATAAAATTGCTAAATGCTAGAATTAACAACAAAGAAAAAATGGAGAAAGTCAGATACTAAAGTTAAAATACAGTAAGTAAAATAGCAGCTAAAATTAGCAAACAGATGCTAAAACGAGATAAATTGTAGCTAAAATTAGCTAAACATGTTGGATTTGACAAAACAGTAGCTAAAATCTAAATGTGCAGAAAAGTAAACCCATGTGCTGAAATAAAATTAAATCAAAACAATGAAATGAATCAAACTACAACAGACTAATTGATTTGATAATATTCTGGTAATTGATGCAGATCAATATCTGGTGCTACACCTTGTTGTTCTGACACCAAACACACCCAGAAGGAAAAATGGAGCAAACTGAAAGGGACAATGACAATATGATTTTAAAATGATTTAATTATTTAGGAATAATATGTAAAATGCATCATAGTTTTGTTTAAAGTTCACAGTCGAGTGTGAATGTAACAAAAGTCAGGACTGAGGAAAGAAATTCAGCAACAAACAGGTTTTCATGCAGGATGTAAAAAAAAAAATCAAAGAAGTTAAATCTTGTTTTCAACTTTTAATTTGGGTATTGTTTGTGATTTATTATTTAGGACTGATCACACAAACAAGAAGGTCTTCAGGACAACCGAGAGTCCTGCAGGAAGGGCCCGCTGCGGTCCGGGCTCATCTAAAAACGTCCTCCTGCTTCAGCACGGCTCAGAACCATCACAAGACAATCTGAAGTTTTCTGAAGGCTTTTCTCTGTTTGTGGAACAAGCTCGAGTCAGGTTCTCGAGGTGGATTCTTCCATCCAGAACCAGACCTGACTCAGCCTTGGTGGATTTATGGAGCATGCATCAGGACTGTTTGTTTTTCTGCTCCCATCGGGTCTGACCTGCTCCCCTGTGCTGGGCTTGCGGCAGGTTCATACCTGAGAAGCCGCAGTTCGGTCAGCAGCGTCGGGTTCTGTTGGGCTTTTTCTGGTGTCGGCTGAGAGGCCTGCTCGTGCTCCAAACGCAGCCGCTGGATCTCCTGCAGGATCTCCCTGAACATGGCACAACGTTGTGGTCAAAACATGCGATTTATTACTTTAGGAAGAATTTTCAATTTCTGAGTAACAAAATAATTTTTGAGAAGAAATCAAACGTGAAGTTAAAATAATAATCTTTGATATTTATTAATGAAATACTTTAGGAGTTGAAGAGGGCGTTTTAAAGGCGAAGCTGCTGGAGCATCTTTTTGAATCAGCTGGACCAGATAATCAAACCTCCAAATGATTTTCACATTTATAATTTATTTTATAAAACTGAAATGTTCCTGAAATTCTATGAAGGCCCGGACAGAACGCACGTCGCCCGCCAACTTTAGTTCCACAGATTTAACCCAAGAGCTTCTTATGATGAAAAAAGAGAAATCCACAAATATCTTGTGAGATCTGTCAGTGCTCATAGTGTTTGTTAGGGATCACTCTCAACTACTGCCTCATCAAAGTTCAGCATGATGTCTGCAGAACGTGTTTTGGTTGATTGTGTGTCTCCCCCTGGTGGTGTGTCCTCTTCATGTCTGTTTCTTTAACTTGATTCAAAGATGCTGTCTAAAGCTGGTCATAGTAAAAACCGACACGAGGAAGTAATGACCTGTTTTTGTTTTCCAGCTCTGCGATCAGCTGTCTCTGTTGTTTGTTAGCATCAAAGTTGAAGGTCAGGTCTGACGGAGGACACTGCTGCTGAAACAGAGTTCAGGTTGGTGAGTGAATTAAATCATCTGACGGTTCATTCATTCTCCTAACAGTACAACAAATGAACACAAACAAAGGCAACAATATCGTAAACTTTAGTGGTGGGCTACAACTAACTTTGTTTACTAAAATTAACTTATAGCTTAACTGAAGTCATGTGTGGCGTTCGGGGGGACACTTACTGTGGAGTTGCCGGCCTCGGCCGCCAGGCGTGCGGCGTATCGTGCGATGAGCCGGTGTTCTTCATCGAGCCGGCTGGGACTTTCCAAGACGCTGTTGAAAGTCAAACACAGTCAAACATGGCACAGAGAAAACACCAACTCTGACGTTAAAACTTCTTTAAAGCAGGAAGTTGGTCCAAATTATTTAAAAGTACATGACTTCATGCCACTTAGCTCGACAGTCAGAGGTCATGATGATAAGCAGCCAGATGTGCGCTCGTGTTAGCAATGACTGCAGATGTGAGAAAGTCTGAGAATGATCATGGCGTGTCGAGTGGACACATGACTGGACATACGCTGCATCAGCTCTGCAGGTCGTCTGCAACGACGTGAAGGACAGATGAACAAGTTTTAGGAGCATGCTAACGCTGACTAGAGAGTAAGTGACGACTCAAACACCAAAAGGCCGAGCACGCCTATCTGTATGAAAGATTGCATATGGATATTTTGCTAACAGAAAGACGGGGTGACACCAGCACTTACTGACACAGATTTAAGCAAAAATGCCATCCAACGTGTAATGCTCAAACTATTTGCTGGGAACGATGCTCAACTACTGCTACAGCTAATCTGAGCTCGATATCAGTCAGATTAGAGTTATAACCAGGTCCCTAATCAGTTGTAGATGTACATCTAATGATTACTTAAAGCTTTGTTCAAATCTGACTGCTGGTTTGTGAGATATTTTGTTGACACTGCAGACACCGGTAACAAGAGAACCTCATACGGCACGTTGGACGCCCGTCAAAGTGCAAACATGCAGCAATCTATAGCAATGGTTCAGACATAGGCGTCACAACAGTTATATGTGAAGGGGACGTGTCCCCCTCATATTTAAAATAAATAGTTTGGACCCCCCACATTTACCATGAAACATTAGTTCACCCAGCGCTGTTTCTATTTCTTCATGAACGAATCCATTCCACTTGATTAACTGGAGAATAATCAAACCACTAAAAGTCCACTCCAGATTTTCCTGGTTACAACAACTCACCACCTCATGCAGAGTGAAACACGTCAACGATTTATAAGACAGATCTTGGTGTCAGGCCTCAGACTGATCAAGTCTTTCGAATGAAAGACGAAACGCCAAAAAGAAACTGTCCAGATAACGATTTATCCTTTTGTGTACCACAGCTGTGTTTCTCACTTGACAGGGCAGGGGAAGGAGGGGGAGACATCTGTGTGTGGGGTAGGATGTGTGGGAGAAGCTCTATTCACACAAGGAGAGCTGTTGGTCAGGACACTTCTTGTTGCTCTCTAAAATAGTTATTGAATCATTTACTTATGTAGGTAAACTAGATATTAAACAGCCTGTTAAAATATTGCAGAAGGCAGGAAATGACATCTACTTTATTCATAATTTTCTGGGAGTAGACTGCCAAGACCCCCCCCCCCCCCCCCCCCCCCCCCCACACACACGCACAACCTACTTTTAGCTATTTTTACTAATTACAGCTTTAGCATCTGTTTTGCTGCCTTTAGCTAACATTTTGCTAATATAATAATAATAATAATAATAATCATGTGTTATGTGTTGTCATCATTGTATGTTCCCATTCAATGGCAAAATTGTCTCTGCATTTAACCCATCCACCACCAGGTGGTGCAGAGAGCAGCTATTGAAAGCCCCCGGGAGCATTTGGGGATAGGGTGTGCTGCTCAGAGACACCAATATTGTGCAACAAGTTTGTTTATTTTAGCTACTGGTTTGTCAATTTGAAGTGTAGCATTTGTTTAACTACATTTCTGCTTGTTGTAGCTTTTAGCCACTGTTCTGCTGTTTTTAGCCACTGTGCTGCTGTTTTTAGCCACAGTTCTGCTGTTTTTAGCCACTGTGCTGCTGTTTTTAGCCACAGTTCTGCTGTTTTTAGCCACTGTTCTGCTGTTTTTAGCCACTGTGCTGCTGTTTTTAGCCACTGTGCTGCTGTTTTTAGCCACTGTTCTGTTGTTTTTAGCCACTGTGCTGCTGTTTTTAGCCACTGTTCTGTTGTTTTTAGCCACTGTGCTGCTGTTTTTAGCCACAGTTTCTCTGTTTTTAGCCACTGTGCTGCTGTTTTTAGCCACAGTTTCTCTGTTTTTAGCCACTGTGCTGCTTGCTTTAGCTTTCACAACTCAGTTTTAGCATCTTCAGCATTCATGCTGCATTTTCATATAGACAGTTTTTATGTTGTCACTGTGTGAAAAAAAAGACTTCACTTTGATCCGGATGTTGTTTTAGCAACATCCAAACATTTATTCTGACTAATTATAATGTCAGTTTATAATGAGCATGCTATTTGAATAATTAAAGATTGCTTAAAGGAGTGCATATCACCCACCAGCTTTCATGCCGGAGCTTTCTCCTAAAATGTTCTTGTGTTGAGAAATTACAAAGTGGTGTCCATTAATATGAAACGCTGAAAATAACCTTTGGTGCAGTCTCATGCGTGACCACCAGACGTCACGCTCGGAGTATGTGTTGGATTGAATCTCAGCTGCCACCACATCAACTTTAAGCTCAAGATGTGGTAAACTGGCCGAGTCATTTCCATCTTTGTGTTGGTTAATGTTGATTAGCTGTGGCAGCCATCTTGAATAACTGATAACCTGATCTAATATCAGTTATGTCTGTGCATCCTTTGATTTAGTTTATGTCCACACAAACACACAGACGGGGGAAACCCATTATTGCTCCATTTTTCTTTTGGCAGTGGGTGACAAAATGTCTTGCAGCACATTGCTGGAGCTTTTCTTTCAGCTGCACATTGCCCTTGAGAAACCTTGGTGTAGGATCACAACCCTGCCCTGAGGAGAACTGACCACGAGACATCCACACCCCTCATTCATAACATCTCCATATTTATAAAACCCTCCAGACTGGAAGAACTCCAGCTCCAGAGTCCCTGAGCATCCCAACCTCAAAGGAACAAATGACTGTGACGATCAAAAATCAAACTCATCCAGGAGAGAGAACGCAGAAACATTACGTCAGACTGGCCTCCATCATTAAATTCATATCCACAGTGATTCATTATTGCTGTGAGGAAATAATTGTAGAGCTGGCCTTTGAACCAGACGAACTGAAACAAGAGGACCCCCCCGCCTGCTATCTGCTGCTGTCTGATAACCCACCTGTTGAAGTGGGAGTTCTTCATGGCAGCACAGCTAATGTTCCACTAAAATACATTCACAAGGTCATGCAGCTCTGCAGCAACATTTGCAGGTTTACCTGTGGTTCCTAGAGTTTCTAAAAGTAGAACAGGAGGCAGAACTTTCCGTTATCAGAGTTCAGCAGTTTTCATTTGCAGCTCCTCCACCTGAGGATCACCTGACGAGCTGCAACACAAGGCAGGTGATGACTGCCATCCGACGCTGGTGCATTATGTGCCTTTCAGGAGTTGTGTTCCTGGCCTTTACATGGTTCCTAGAGTTTTGTGAAAGACTAACCCCACTCTCTTGTTGTAGCCCGACTCCTGTTGCCTCCTGTCTTCTCGTGACCTCTCCAGCTGTCCCCTGACAGTCCTGCTTGGTTGAAGAGACTGACCATCAAAACCATCACTCCAGAGGAGCTTCCCACCAACGCTGTCCCCTACACTCCAGAGTTCCTGTCCAGGTCCAACGATCCACTATGCTGTGCTTTATTGTTCACTTTGTAAATAAACACAGTTAAAACTTTCCCCTGGTTCTGAAATCATTGTTCTCGTGCACATACGATCTGGGTCTAAGAGCCGAACCGTCTCTCTCGTTGAACTTCCAGTTTCTCTGTGTGAGGCCGACACCTCGTCTACTTTTCAGACTAGGCCTAACACTTTCTTTGTGCATAAATCCTATAGTTAGGGGTGGCGTGGGTTTCCTGAGCGAGCTAGTTTGAGGTTAAAGGTGCTCACTTGACGACAGCCTGATCCAGAATATTTCTTTGAAAGAGAACCGTTCCTTTCATCTGTTGCCTCCGAGCTGCCCAGGATGGATTGCTCTTCTTTAAGTGAACATCTCTACTCATTGCTCTACCTGGATGATTGACCTTGATATTTGGCCATGGCTGCCTCAGACGAGTCGACGGGGGAGAGGGTGGACTCCAGAAACCATCAGAGCACCATCAAACTGGTTGACCCACTATGTGAAGGTGCTATTTATAAGACTGAGTTTGTTGCAGCTCCTCAGACAGAAGAAGTCCTTTGGATGAAAGCTGAAACGTGAGTAAACTTTGTTGGATTTTCTGCCTGGATTACTGAAGCTTCATATCTCTACTGACGTTTCAGAAAGTATTATAAGTGATACTGTAGTACTGTAGTACTTTGTATATTGGACTGTAGTGGCTACACCTAGATTTGAATCTGACTTAAAATAACATAATTTAGTTTAACTCAAATAATTGGAACTTGTTGATTTCAATCTGATTACGGTTTGTGTCATTTAATGTGTCAGTTTTTAAAATCATAATTATTCTACATGACATCCAGCCGGGGGGGGGGGGGGGGGGGGGG